TTCTCCAACTGCAAGATGTGAAAATAGAGTAATTTATAAACTCTTTCAAAACCAATTCACTGTACACCTCATTCTCAACTCCATTAATTGAAAAAAAGTAAAATATATACCTTGGTTTGTCCTTCAACACGACTGTATTTCGGGGGCAGAGGATCAATAGCTCTAAATTCATGCATAATCCAACATGTATTAGTACTGCTTTCAGGGTGTCCCTTGTAGAAGTGAAACGTCTTTCGAAATCCAACAATTTCACCATTTTTTTCGACGTTTTCATCTTCTCCTACTGCTTGCCAATACCCATCAATTGTAGATAGACTTATTTTCTCGTTTTCGCATTTTCTATCCCTTAATGTAAACAAGTACCAAATTTTCTCTATAGTCTGCCCATATTCATCTGGGAATCAAATAAAAGAAATATTATTTTCCTGACATCCTTGTATAATAACACAAAATTTGAGATGGAAAAAAATAATTGTACCAGAAATTAATTTTCAAGAAACAATGAAGAACAAAAAAATATATATATATATGAAAGGAAGAAGAGATGATTTCACCAGCAAGTTTCTCGGGGTCGATCTCGTATATATTAGCAAGTTTAATCCAATGGAGAGGCATCTTCTGGTTCTTGATTTTGTTGATCAAGAACAATACAAGAATTTGAGCATCAGTAGGGTTGAAAACAAAATCAGGACCGACTACCCTATAGTAATCATCATAATAAAGTTTTTCATGCGAATAATCCTCAGGTCGATATTTTCTGATGGTTTTAGACTGCATCGTAGAATCCTAGATCTGGGAATCGGTTGTGAATTTGAACGAAAGCAAGAGATGAGAAATAAAATATAAGGTTTCTGAGTTTTTATAGGGAGGAAGATTTGTGTTTATGTAAGTGTATGAGAATTGAGGTGAAGGTGAAGTGAAGTGAAGTGAGGTCTCTCTCTCTCTCTCTCTCTCTCTCTCTCTCAATGCCAAATCCATTTTTACGTTGCTTTGATCACAATAATTGTCAAAAGCATCAAATTAATTGATTCTACAAATTCAAATTTATAATTATCTGATGGTGACAGATTTTATTTTCTTAATTATGAAGATATTATTCATACAATCAATTACATAAATAATTGTCTTACATTTCGTTTACCTATTTTAATATTTTAATCTTAAGTCAATTCAAAAAATATACAACAAATAAGTCAATGTTTTGTTTAGGTTATAGATGACTATTTAAATTTT